TGTCGCAAGATGAGCCCGTCAACTCTGACCCGCAGCATATCAAGACGACACACGGTCGTCTGATCGGGATCCTGACAACAGACGAGACGTTCATTCGGCTGCGAGCGAAGCCTTTTGATCTTCTACAGCTGGTTTGGCAAAAGTGCACGATAATGATCACGCTTTTTGTTGGGTAAAAGGCGCACGGTATCGTATCGACTGAAGCCCTCAAAGCAAACAATCAATTTGGCCAGTATCTTCAATGAGCTCTGGATCCTGCTGATTGCACCGAATTCGTTCGCTCGTTGGATACATGCGTGCTTTTGTACAAGGAGTAGACAGCTGGATCCTCAGTCTCCGGATACATGCGGGCGCTTTTGTACTAGGAGTAGACAGCTGGAGCCTCAGTCTCCGGATACATGCGTGCGCGGATCATTCGAGCAGAACTTTGATGGGCTGCCCGTAATCACGCTTTGGAGCGAATGGGCGAATGCTGCAGCTGCTTGATCGTGTTCTTCAGATATTCGTTCTCAGACTAGCCTCCCTGGCGCTGAACGTGTCGAGTCTCGGTGTAAAGTTGCATTCGAAGCTTGTGCTTTCTGACGACGGGTACAAGCCATGCTCGACATTCGAGACTTTTCCTGAAGACATTGTCTCATGGCATGGAAAAAATGAGCTGCGTGACCTCACAATTGCTTTTGCCTCCTGCGTCCTACCGCCGAACCACAACCCACGCCACTCCATTCCCTTCACCCTCAAGATGTCGCCAGCTCTTCCGCGTTTGACGGTGGTCTGCTCCGCGCTGTTGCTTTGCTTTCGCTCTCGCACGGCACGCAACTTTTCGGAAACGACGCGTCAGTTGTCCAAACCGAGGCGACAAAGTCATGGCCAGGTCTGATCGTCAACGTCACGCATCAGACGGCGCCTTTTCCGTTCAACTCGTTTGTCTTGTACGCCAACCCAGTCGTGACGGAGGACGGGGCCAAGGTGCTGTACGACGTCAACGCAGAATTCAAGGTCGTCAATTCTGCGTACCAGAAGTGGATGTACTACGTGCAGACTGATGGGTACGCGATGTCCGGTGACAGCTACGACCAGACCACGTGTATGGAATGGGAAGCCTACCCGTACGCACTTCCGGCGGTGAACGCCATTGCCACTGCACTCATGGGACTTTCGCCTGGTGCTGAACCAGACGGTCACGACTGTCCGGGACACAAGTACTTCTTCCAACTTTTCAAAACCAGCCACACCGTGTGTGAAACGAATCCTGGCAAGATGATCACGATTACTGGAAACAACCTGGTCCTCACCGTGTCGTACGCGGACAAGATGAACTTGAAAAGGAACGGTGGTAGCAGCGCTGGGTGTAAGCCCGTGGCATTCCCAGCTTCTGTGGCGCCGATCGGCAAGTCGTTGCTGACTGGACAAAGCCTTCCGCGTACATCGTAGTGCGCTGGAAGGAGCGGGAAGCTCACTTGCTTGCCAGTGGCTGTAAGCATGAGTACATCTTCTGTGGCTGCCTCTCACTTCCGGAGTAACTCGGCAGAAGCAATAAAAAGGGTTTTGCAGCCAAAATACTCGTCATCGAGGTATGTGAAACGTGGTGTGTTTGTTTTGTCTTGTCTGTAGTGAAAGGGACCCTACACCACCTCACTTGACTTGAGAGCGAGATGCGACAAGTGAGCCTAGGTTATCGTTCCTATCATGCACAGTCGGTAAAAAGTCACAAGTTGGGACAACACAGTAATTTCTACAGTGTCGTTTTCTCTATCGATTACGATCGGCCGGGACAACAGCCCAAAATTGGCCAAGCTACAACATGTACATAGGAGTGGTAAGTAATAAATTGACAAAGTAAGCAGAGACAGCGAATTCAGTACTTGTCTGAACGTTCGTAGTTGACCGGATTGCGCTACGGATGTACGAAACACTCACCGAGAATTCCGTGACTTGACGCGCGTGTTGTGGTTCCATCGAGCTGGGTCGGAGAGGATAGTACTTTGATTGGCTCGTATCGACTTGAATTGCAGAGCTGCTCCACGGTTGCTTGACGCAGCTTTGACACGCTCTACGTCACACAAAAGGATCAAACAGATACCACACAGAGCTTCTGTGAGCGAGCACCGAAGCGGTGCAAATAGCAGCAAGCACGACCAGGAAGAACGTAGAAGAGGGAAAGCAAGAGTAGCGACCGACCAGGACAGCTGAGTGGAATGGAGATTTCATAGAGTTTGTGGAGAGAGCCACTGCCCCCGGTGGTGCGATCAGCGAGTTGTACGGCGTTCAACTTCTGTAACATAAGGACTTGAGTGCACAAGCTGATTGCGAGCCCGAAGGGTGAAGCTGGTAGTGACTGTGCGCAAGGTTGAATGCCGAGCTTTTAATTCGCACTTATCTGTCTTTGTGTGTCTGTAAATAACATGACTAGGTGTAGCTTACCCGTACGAAGTGCGATAGCCTGACCCCACGAGGGCTCCTTCCCGCGCAGGATGGGACACAAAATACTGCGGCACGAGATCATTGAACATTTAACACGACACATATTTCGTAACGACCAGATCTGTAGACACATTATCGCATCCATGTGCGTCGATGGCACTTAAGAATGAGGAATGTGATCAACCAGTGAAATTCTTCTCTTTGTGATCGATGCTTACCTGCTACAAGAAGGGTAGAAGCTCAAAGCCTTATCCACTTCATCCCAATCGGTGCTGATTGCAGACTCATGCAAGAAGATCTGTTTTTAAACGTGGTCGTAACAGCATGACTAAGGTTTAACCGATGCATCAACTACATTGATGCAGTAACGATTCAGTGAGCAGTGACGTCTTGCAGCATGATTCTGGACAAAACATGAAACTAATGCGATTGCTCATAGGCGACTTTGACGTTTGGTGGAACAGTCCAACCTCCTGGCAAGGCTTTTGAGCAATCTAGTTTCTACTAAAAGAAGCTCACCTTTACCGTTGATCGAAGTCGCGAGACCTCAGTGGTATAAGGATGCCCATCGGATCGTCGCTAGGAGAAACCGTATCCACTTTACATGCATCTGTAAAGTAGCGGGGCACCCTTTGCTTGGGGTGCCGCGAAACTTTACGTACAGCCATTACGTGCAGAAGAAGTTAAGCTACTCGAACTGCTAGTTTGAGTTAAGGTGGAAAGTTTTTGATATAGTTAAACCATCAATATAACTTGGTTCCTTTGCTAACTAAATTAAGCTACATCGTCGTATGACGACAACCTGCTCACCACCCGTTGCTGCGCGTCTAGCAGCGATTGGTGGTATTCTTGGTTCAGATGTCGATATCAACCGATCTTTGAGCAGCACGTGAATATTATCCTAAAGGGGTAATATTCTTCAGTATTAACTATCTCGGGTAATATTGGCAGAAGATTGTCACACTTGACAATCTCCCTATTGACACAAAACGGTGTCAATATCATGTAACGGGCTACCCCGTTACATACAATGCCTGGATGCATGCATCGGCAGAAAGGTAAAAACACACACAATATAGACGAATTCGACGATGAAAACAAGTAAAATAGATGACGCTTTCATTTTACGCTCTCTTGATTCCCATTGAATTTAATGATCGTAGGAAATGAATAGAATCTCGACTTTACATGCTAAGATAATCATCGAATGCGGGATGTGCAGGACACGCGGGATGGAACCGGCTCATCCTGCGTCCCGTCCCGCGCAGGACAGGATGCGGGATCTTGCGGGATGGGACGTGGCAAGACGGAGCCCTAGTCCCCCACCGCAAAGGTATGCTTTCGGTACACATGCACTCACTCTTTGACTAGGTCACTATTGAGACACACGCTTGTGAGTGGTTTCAAATCGACTAAAGGTGCATAGGACCACAAAAGCAAATGCTGCACGATCATAAGGAAAGACCGATCGCGTTGCACTGGCATACCGTACTGGGTTGCTATCGACATTCACAGCATCATCATACTCCTTCTTCGGCGACTGCTGCTGTACAGTGTTTTGCAACTTGAGTCGGTTCTCCGAGCTGAATTACTTATATCAAAGGCGCGCTCCAGGCTTGCTCCCCTACCTTACAATTTGCGCTGATTCACATTGATACGTGTCGCAGGACGACCCATCCAATCTGGCCCGCAGCACGTCGAGTCGACAAACAGTCATCTGTTTGGGATCTCACGACGGACGACATGTCCATACAGCTGCAACTCACAGCAAGAAGCGAGTTGATTTGTTCTTAGCGTCTACATCGCAAAACAACGATATGCGCTATTTCACATTCGTCCGTGTCGCAAGATGAGCCCGTCAACTCTGACCCGCAGCATATCAAGACGACACACGGTCGTCTGATCGGGATCCTGACAACAGACGAGACGTTCATTCGGCTGCGAGCGAAGCCTTTTGATCTTCTACAGCTGGTTTGGCAAAAGTGCACGATAATGATCACGCTTTTTGTTGGGTAAAAGGCGCACGGTATCGTATCGACTGAAGCCCTCAAAGCAAACAATCAATTTGGCCAGTATCTTCAATGAGCTCTGGATCCTGCTGATTGCACCGAATTCGTTCGCTCGTTGGATACATGCGTGCTTTTGTACAAGGAGTAGACAGCTGGATCCTCAGTCTCCGGATACATGCGGGCGCTTTTGTACTAGGAGTAGACAGCTGGAGCCTCAGTCTCCGGATACATGCGTGCGCGGATCATTCGAGCAGAACTTTGATGGGCTGCCCGTAATCACGCTTTGGAGCGAATGGGCGAATGCTGCAGCTGCTTGATCGTGTTCTTCAGATATTCGTTCTCAGACTAGCCTCCCTGGCGCTGAACGTGTCGAGTCTCGGTGTAAAGTTGCATTCGAAGCTTGTGCTTTCTGACGACGGGTACAAGCCATGCTCGACATTCGAGACTTTTCCTGAAGACATTGTCTCATGGCATGGAAAAAATGAGCTGCGTGACCTCACAATTGCTTTTGCCTCCTGCGTCCTACCGCCGAACCACAACCCACGCCACTCCATTCCCTTCACCCTCAAGATGTCGCCAGCTCTTCCGCGTTTGACGGTGGTCTGCTCCGCGCTGTTGCTTTCGCTTTCGCTCTCGCACGGCACGCAACTTTTCGGAAACGACGCGTCAGTTGTCCAAACCGAGGCGACAAAGTCATGGCCAGGTCTGATCGTCAACGTCACGCATCAGACGGCGCCTTTTCCGTTCAACTCGTTTGTCTTGTACGCCAACCCAGTCGTGACGGAGGACGGGGCCAAGGTGCTGTACGACGTCAACGCAGAATTCAAGGTCGTCAATTCTGCGTACCAGAAGTGGATGTACTACGTGCAGACTGATGGGTACGCGATGTCCGGTGACAGCTACGACCAGACCACGTGTATGGAATGGGAAGCCTACCCGTACGCACTTCCGGCGGTGAACGCCATTGCCACTGCACTCATGGGACTTTCGCCTGGTGCTGAACCAGACGGTCACGACTGCCCGGGACACAAGTACTTCTTCCAACTTTTCAAAACCAGCCACACCGTGTGTGAAACGAATCCTGGCAAGATGATCACGATTACTGGAAACAACCTGGTCCTCACCGTGTCGTACGCGGACAAGATGAACTTGAAAAGGAACGGTGGTAGCAGTGCTGGGTGTAAGCCCGTGGCATTCCCAGCTTCTGTGGCGCCGATCGGCAAGTCGTTGCTGACTGGACAAAGCCTTCCGCGTACATCGTAGTGCGCTGGAAGGAGCGGGAAGCTCACTTGCTTGCCAGTGGCTGTAAGCATGAGTACATCTTCTGTGGCTGCCTCTCACTTCCGGAGTAACTCGGCAGAAGCAATAAAAAGGGTTTTCCAGCCAAAGTACTTGTCATCGAGGTATGTGAAACGTGGTGTGTTTGTTTTGTCTTGTCTGTAGTGAAAGGGACCCCACACCACCTCACTTGACATGAGCGCGAGATGCGACAAGTGAGCCTAGGTTATCGTTCCTATCATGTACAGTCGATCAAAAGTCACAAGTTGGGACAACACAGTAATTTCTACAGTGTCGTTTTCTCTATCGATTACGATCGGCCGGGACAACAGCCCAAAATTGACCAAGCTACAACATGTACATAGGAGTGGTAAGTAATAAATTGACAAAGTAAGCAGAGACTCGAATTCAGTACTTGTCTGAACGTTCGTAGTTGACCGGATTGCGCTACGGATGTACGAAACACTCACCAAGAATTCCGTGACTTGACGCGCGTGTTGTGGTTCCATTGAGCTGGGTCGACGAATACAATACTTTGATCGGCTCGTATCGACTTGAATTGCAGAGCTGCTCCACGGTTGCTTGACGCAGCTTTGACACGCTCTACGTCACACAAAAGGATCAAACAGATACCACACAGAGCTTCTGTGAGCGAGCACCGAAGCGGTGCAAATAGCAGCAAGCACGACCAGGAAGAACGTAGAAGAGGGAAAGCAAGAGTAGCGACCGACCAGGACAGCTGAGTGGAATGGAGATTACATAGAGTTTGTGGAGAGAGCCACTGCCCCCGGTGGTGCGATCAGCGAGTTGTACGGCGTTCAACTTCTGTAACATAAGGACTTGAGTGCACAAGCTGATTGCGAGCCCGAAGGGTGAAGCTGGTAGTGACTGTGCGCAAGGTTGAATGCCAAGCTTTTAATTCGCACTTATCTGTCTTTGTGTGTCTGTAAATAACACGACTAGGTGTAGCTTACCCGTTCGAAATGCGATAGCCTGACCCCACGAGGGCTCCTTCCCGCGCAGGATGGGACACAAAATACTGCGGCACGAGATCATTGAACATTTAACACGACATGTATTTTGTAACGACCAGATCTGTAGACACATTATCGCATCCATGTGCGTCGATGGCACTTAAGAATGAAGAGCGTAATAAACCAGTAAAATTCTTCTCTTTGTGATCGATGCCTACCTGCTACAAGAAGGGTAGAAGCTCAAGGCCTTATCCACTTCATCCCAGTCGGTTTTGCTGATTGCAGACTCATACAAGAAGATCCGTTTTAACGTGGGTCGTAACAGCATTGTAACGGAGCACCCTGAAGCTTGTACTGATGACAGTACAAGCTACTTATTCTGATGACAGAATAAGGCGGTGCCTCGGAACTTCACGTACACTGGTACGTGCAGAGCAAGACGGTAAGAAGAAGCGAGTACTTGGTTAGAGTAAAAAGTAGAACTGTATTTATCATAGTTAATGTCTGCAATAAATCACTATTTATCCTCATCTAACTATGTCTAAATGCAAATGTGCAAATCAACTATCTGCTCACCACTCATTGCGTGCGTCTGTCGTGGCGCGTCTTCGTTGGTTAATACAATGGCCTATATCAACCAATTAGGAACTACTCGAAAGTGCTGCAGAATATTGTCCTCATGACAATATTCTGAGAATTTAACTCTTCTAGTTATATTCTATTAACAATTTCTTGTAAATTGTTATGTAACGGTTCACCCCGTTACATCACCCCCCCTTAAACATCAGTCACTTTAGTGACTGATTGACTAAATGGATACTCGTCCCAAATCATTTGGGACAGGGTTTGCACTTGTTGGTCCGAGTCCGTTTTCCAACAATTCATCGCATGGTTAACAAGCCCATGCGGTGCGCGAACAAGGCCGCTGAGAGCGCGTCTGCACGTCTCTGTTCGGACGCCGAAGCAGAAACCGCTGCAACTGATGTCTCATCGGTTGCTGAAGCGACTCAGCCTGTGTCACTTGGTGATGCAGACGCTGGTCATGAAGACACTCGTGTCTTCACAGAGTATGAGCTCGGTGTCTCATACTCTCCTGATGCGGAAGACGGATCCGTATCGACGGCGATCGAGTTCAAGCCGCCTGCCAAGCGTGGCATGGATGATGCTACGCGTCGAAGCATCTTTGGTTCATCTGACGAATCAGATGAACCATCTCCGAAGCGAAGGCGCTCGAGGTCGCGAGACTCGGGCGCTAACAGTGGTGTCAGTTCTCCTATTGACACCACTTCGCAACGAGGTACCAGTCCTTCTATCGGCACGTCGCGAGAAGAGCGGGACCGCAGTATGTTGCGTCTTGCTCCCGAGAAGAAGGCATGGATGCCTCCTAAATCCGTCATGGATCACTTGTCGGCGACGGCGAGTGATCGTTATCGAACACGATTGTTCGATTCATCAAGGATTCATCACCTTGACTCCAGCGCGAAAAACTATCGCGCGGAAAATGAATTCTTCATCGATGCTTTCTTTAAACGTCGATGATACAGTGGGAATCACAAACGTGATGGTCCCTCCCTGCTTCAAGCGTGTAACGCCTACATCCATAACCTTGAGGATGTAGGTCGTGACGCTTGGAACGACAAACTTATCAAAGCTCGTGATAAGTTTGAAAAGCGAACCCCGACAGGTGCACGCTATAAGCTGCATCGTCTGTCTAAGGATAGTGGGTTATCCTTTCTTTTCTGGGGAGACTCGTGCCCTTGTTGTGTAAACAACTCTGCGCGCGCACCTAAGGAGGCTTACCTCCTTACTAGCCTGTGGTGGCGCGTACGTAGCCTCAAGGTGATCGGGGGTGCACCGATCCCTGTATATGTGGGGTGGTAAGGTAAGAAAAAAAACTAATCTTATTGTTGGAAACGACGCTGTAAGGTTAAAGACCCACGCCTTCTGTGTGTCGATCCTCTATGAACTGGTATTGGAAACAAGGGTACTTTACCGTTTATAGACCAAGGAGCGCAGTCGTATGTTTTGCTGTGGTATGGCTAATACTAATCAATCTAACATCTTGTTTTGGTCGCGGAGAAAGGTAACGACGTCTACTATTGGGAAGAGGAGCTAGGTAAGTTCGACGGGTTAGTTAGTACTACAGAAGCAATAGTTTAGAACGACACAAGGGTTAGCAAACTAATTTTAATATCAAATAGAATCGTCGGGGAGGTTTTGTTGATTGTTTTGTGGCACCAACTTCTGTTTAAATTGGCGGTTGAGTTGGCAGACTAATTCTGCTATTGAAAGGGATAGTTGGGGAAGCTCTGTTGATCCGTTATTGTTATCAATTAATTGTTTGGATTGGCAATAAAGTTAGCTTTCTAATTCTGTTATTGAAAAGAATGGTTCGTGAAGTATCATTTAATATCTACTGAGATGTACGAAGGGATTGACAACCAAAAATCCCTTTACGACCGTGCCAGGAAGACTTTCTCCGGCGGTCCTTCTGCGGCATAGGATGTGACCCGTCGTACTGCTCAACCAGACCCAGTACGTCAATCATCAGTTGGGAGCGGGGCTACCAAGTATCCCAGGACGGAGATAACTGCGCCACCGGACGAGGTAACTCGTCCGACGTCCTTTCACGTCGCGGTGGTTCAACAGCTGCTCAACTAGATAGCGCTGACCACCGCAGGAGTCCTCTAATGGAGGTGGAGGAGGAGGAAAGACGCTCTCCGCACGATCGTGGGGATCCCTGTGTTCCCGAGAGCTTCTTTGATCGCGTAACTCTTGCGTTACGCGACGACCTCGAGCATGAGCGGAATAGGCGTCTCCAGATGGTGGACACTGCCTCGAAGCATCGAGCTGAGTTTGCCTTTGCTCAGCTTGAGAACGAGAGATCTCTGACATCTCTGCGTGACGAGCTAAGGGTAGCTCGTGGGACTGTTGATCGGTATCGGGATGAGATAGCTGCTCTTCAGACCCTTGTCGATGCCCGCCATCGGGAGCACAAGGCTCTCTGCGAGATGCTTGAGCGCAAGGGCGTTCTTCATCGGAAGAAGCAGCGTACTGATGGTACGGCTTAAGCCGACCAACGTAAAACGTAGGATGCGTTCGCATCTTACGTGGTAACTCGATCGTGTATGCATTGCCTAGGCGGTGCAATACACGAAATGGGCCAATGTACTTGGGTAGTAGTTTACTGCTACCCAAGTTAGTCACTACATGCTTTGGTAGATTAACCGTAGACAGTAGGACTAAGTCACCTTTATTAAATAAAAGAGTGTTTGCCCTTCCATTCTTGTCAGCGTTTTACTTTTGCTTATCCACCGCTTCGGCGATGGAGTCTTGCACAAAACGGACTACCGTTTCACGAGCCAGTATGAACTCATCTGATGACTCGTTAGCTTCAGTGCGCTGTGAGTGCACTGCAGCAATATCAATCTTTTCTTCAGTGAGGGCTTCCGCGCTCTCACTGGCATCATCTTCTTCGATATCGATGTTATCGATATCGGCATCAAACGCAGTGACTTCTTCGTCAGAGCGTGATGAGAGTGAACCAAATCGGTTTTTGATCGCGCGACTCTTTCCCCCCCTGAAACCAGAGTTGCACTCGAGTAAGGTGGGTACTCGCGGATGGTGCAAGCCATTCACGTAAAACGGTGTATGTGTCGTGGACGCATGCACCGAGTTGTTAATGACAAACTCTACCATTGGCAAGAACTCACTCCAACTATTAAAGGAGTGTACGTATCCTCGAAGTATCTCTTCAAGGACACGGTTGGCACGTTCCGTCTGACCCTCTGACTCTGGTTGATCAGATGTAGACATCTTCAAGCGCGTTCCGAGTGATTTGAACACGGAACGCCAGAAATCAGCAGTGAATCGTGGATCTCTGTCTGATACGAGTTCACGGGGCAACCCATGAAGTCGGAAGATGGTGTAGATAAAGACACAAGCACAGCCACTTGCCGTGATTGACTCGGGTACAGCCACAAGGTGTACCATTTTGCTGAATCTGTCAAC